TGCCGGTAGTTGTTGAGGACATTAAGCTCGAAGTTGTTGTATTTTTACCTGGCACGAATAGTGTTCTTAACGCTTGTGTGATGCTTGGGCTGGGACAAATAGAGACATCAACGAATCAACGCGGCTGGGCAGCGTTCGGGAAATTACGGCATATCTTCTCGTCAGGTATACCTCAAATTTTAAAAATTAGACTGTATAACCAGTGCGTGTTGCCAGTGATGAACTATAGAACTGAAACTTAGTCCTTCACTGTTGGCAGTTTGTGGAAGCTCTAGGTCGCTCAGCGAGTTATGGAGAGGGCTATGCTCGGGGTTCCTCTGCGTGATATACTTAGAAATGAGGACACCCGCAGTAGAACTAGAGTTACCGACATAACCCAAACCATTAGTAAGCTGAAGTGGCAATAGGCCGGCCATATAGTTCGAAGAACTGGCAACCGATGGGGAAAAAAGGTTCTTGAGTTGCAGCCTCGTACCGGCGAACGAAGGGTAGAGCGTCCCCCCACTAGATGGAGTGACGACCTGGTAAGGCATACACGAAGTCGATGGATGCAAGTGGCTCAAGACCGTACTTTGTGGCATTCCTTTGGGTGGCCTATTTTCAGCAGTGGACATGTGAAGGGCTGTAATGATGATGATGACTGACCTTAAACAATTCGGAAGCTATCGACTAGGTACATTTTGGGACTTCTATTTCAGCAGTGAATCATATTATAATAAATAGAAGCATTGGTACGTCATTCCACACATAAAAAATACATACAAGCACGCACGCCCGCACGTACTCGTACGCAAGCATGCACGCATGCACGCATGCACTCACTCACGCAAGCACGCATGCACGTAAGCACGCACGCACGCACACACACACACACACACACACACACACACACACACACACACACACACACACACACACACACTCGCGCATACACAATCCCACACATACATACACGCATACATATACACGCGCACACGCGCACACACACGCACTCACTCACACACACACTCGCGCATACACAAACCCACACATACATACACGCATACACATACACGCGCACACGCGCACACACACGCACTCACATGCACACACGCGCACACACACGCACACACACGCACACACGTGCACACACACGCACCCACACGCAGTCAAACGTGCGCACACGCACACACACACGCACACACACTTATACACACACTTTAATAAATATACTTACATTTATTTTATATAAATTAATGAAATATATTAGAATATTCATTTAAGTGTGCAAATAGTGTAGTGCTTTTACTTTTGTTTTAAATATCCACTTATTCAGGGATTTTCTTATTACTAAGGTAAGCGCGTTACAGAATACAGAAGGAGTTTGATACAGGCTCGACCGGGGCAGGATCACGCTCTCCCAGAATACCACCGTAAAATAGCAGATTAATGCTGCTGTATTTCGTATATTGACTGTAGAGAACCGGAGACCCTTTTACTGGAAACAAGGTATTCCATCTTAGCCCTCGGTGGACAGGTGACAACTAATCTGCATCTGGATCCTTAATGGAAGATAAATGTAGATGTCCATGGGCCACTGCATCCACTTACCATCAGGTGGACTGTGTGTTCGTTTGTCACCCTTATTCTATAAAAAAGAAATTCAGTACGGTGATAGGTAATTCGTAATACGAGATTGTCATGAGACCGAAAATTACAATTAAGGGGAAGAACCCAGTTATTGAAACTTTCAAATCAGTAACTATAGGGTTAATGGATCTTTAAGGATTGTGAAAAGAGTGCAAAGAGTTCTATTATGATTCCTTCGTTGTAAGATATTCAACCACTTAAGTCTAGAGTAGTAGAAGACGCAGTCATACTTTCAAAGACCGTAACGAAGCGAATAGACAGTTGTTAAGAAGGTATTATTATTTATCTATGGATTTTGTCATGTTAAAAGTGAAAAGTGTTGCCTTTGTGACATAAGAGTAAAAAATAATAAAATGAGTGTCAATATATTGCCTTTTTAGCGTAAATAGCAAAATGATATGTAAAAATAATAACATTATAAAGTGGCTCGTTTTTCTTGCACTATTTTACGAATTAGGCTGCGAGATTGGCCAAGAGGATGAAGAATTGATTATATTAACAAAGCCCCTCCTATCTCATACTAGTTTGAATAAAAGTTTACCCAAATTTACCGGATCCTCAAGTTCTGTTTCTTTATACTACGAAGATATCACTTATAAAAAATTTGGGAAACTATTCACTGCAGATCCATTCTATTATGAACAACTGGAACTGACGAAAAACGCTAACTTAACGAATGTAACGGACATAACAACACAAAAATACATAAAAAATGAAGATGAAAATAAAAGTGATGGCGGTATTCAATGTTTGTGGTGTTTTACGGACAGAGGGTATATGTCAGATGAAAAATGTTACAATGGCAAAGTGTAAGTTGAACAAAATATTCTATGAGAACAAATTATTATTCCAAACATTTATTCTGTGCATATTTTTAATCTATGCGGAGAAGATCTATCCCTCTCTTTCTCTCTTTTTTATAGAATAAGGGTAACAAACCAGCAAACAATCCACCTGATGGTAAGTGGTTGCTGTAGCCCATAGTCATCTACATCTACCATCGATTACGAATCAAAATGCAGATGAGTTGTCACCCGTGAGGACTAAGATGGAATGACTTGGTTGCAGTAAAAAAAGTCTCCGGTTCTATACGCTCACCATACGAAACACGGCAGCGTTAAGCTGCTCATTTACGCTGGTATTCACACACTCTTTTTGCAAAATTTACTCGATTTTCGAAGCAGAAAATGAGGGTGTTTTACTAACCGGAGTTAATATTTGTACATGAAAATATAAATGGCTTCTTTCCGAGTGTGGTTGTTTTGTTATTTTTCTCGTGTGTCTTATATTATGGTGAATATTAGTTTACATTGAAGTTATCTCTTCGATGTAAACTAAGCATGAGCAGTACATAGGGCACGTGTAGGTTAAGGCTAAACTATCTCTTTGGCACCCGTTAGCATTCCTATCCTAGTTATTCTGAAGGTTTCAGAAACAATATAAAATCGCTTTTGAGACAAAAATACATTTGTAATTAAATTTTATAATCAAACACCCTTTTTTTAGCCAAACCAAAGTACAATGTTCAGAGGCTGAAAAATGTTACACGGAGCTGCACCCACAGTACATAAAAAGAGGATGTATGATGCCAAACAAAATGAATAGGACTTTCGTATGCAATTGTCCGTTGTGTAACGATAAGCCTGCGAACGATTCAGTTTATTACCAATACAAAAAAATCGGGGATTGGGATTACCACAACAAACGCGTTCAAATACCGATAGCTGGAATGCAGTTAATTTGCAAAGTTTGTGAAACGAGAGGTTCGGATAAAATTTTTGACATTAATTGCAGGATGGGTAAAAAGTAAGAAGTTATTTATATCTATATCTAAAATAAATGAACATAATAACAGTAATTCTTGATTTGAATTGGTCATCATATTAACCTAAACTATAAAAAACCATATAAAATTTTAATCATAGCCTGTAGAATTCCACTGTTGCACATGGTCCTCTCCCGTTGTAGGAACTATTTGCCTTAATCGTCACATCAGATCACTTACACGTATAAGAGATGGTTTTACTGCTACCTATCGGAAGCTATAAAATCTTTCTCGTACCTATGGGTCATCTCTTACGATAGCTATGGGACGAAATGATTCGATGGATTCATAGTTGATTACTAAAATCTTCAAATATCCAGAGATTTTGATGATCAATATGCATTTCATCTGCCTATGTTTTAGTAAGTTTTGATCGAAAAGAATATAATTTTTTAACATTTACATAAATTTAAAGAATCATCATAATGTACGTTTTTACTTGATAAAGACCGCATTTTAAATAAACCAATACTAGATAGTGCAACCGAATTCTAGTTGAGTTAATTTATGGTAGTAATTTTATGAACACATTGGTCAAGTGTTTTTTTATATATATATAAAAACTGAAACTAACCTACATTCCACTTAATGGTTAGTGCAGTCCATGAAAACTTTTTAAGGCCATGGGCCTAGAAAAAACGATCACTTGGAAGCACCAGCTTTCCTAACCGGATCCATCGCCAAACAAGTCTTGGCCACAAAGGGGAAAAGAGCGCATCTCACAATACGACACTCATCTCCCACCACAGCCCCTACCTCCTCTCAACACTACCGTATCAACGCCTTGCCTGAGTCGCGAAGGGGGAGGCGAGCGGTGCATCGCCACCACTCCAGCACTCCTCTTCCCCCGCGATTCTACGTTGGCTACAGCGGTAGGGGGAATCACATCCCTCTTGCTGCAGTCCGCCAACACACACCTGAAGTGGACTTACCAAGCTTTATTTTAGACCAAGTCACGGCTACTAAGCCACTCCTTCGCCACGACAATGTGGGAACTAGTTCGGGGGGGGGGGGGGCTCTGGAAACTTACATCCAACTTCAAATACATTACATACAACTTTAAATATTATTAATATTACAAAACAAATACAACTTATTGATACCTTTCAGTGTGGACTATATGCTTTGTGGGCGTAATCAAGTGTGTTATGTTAATATTGACGAAGAAACTGATTTTGTTTCAAGAGGATGTATAGATACACCAGCTTATAACTCAATGTTTTATTTCTGCAACAGTTCCTTGTGTAACTCAAAACCGTTTTATATTCCAAAAATACGTTCAGAGAAGTTATTATTAAACGACTTTTCACAGAAATCTGCTTTTCCCAAAAATACTGCTGCCTTGTCCGAGCGCCTAAATGTTTTCTACGTATTGGCGATTTTAAATAAGATTTTATTCTTTTAAAACGTGACTGGTTATAAAGCATAATGTAAAACTATACTTCATTTTAAGGAATGTCAAATGTTGATAGAATTTGTCAAAATGTCAAGTAACTATTTTTCTGTAAGGATGGAAACTATTTCAGTTATATTGTGTTTGTTTTTTATGATAACTTTTGCCAAATGCAATGAAGAGACAACTCAAAATATTAAAAAGCCCCTGCTTAACTTTCGACGACAAGTTGAGGAGCTGCCAGATGAGTCAACATCAGAACGAAATGAAGAAGACGCAAATATTAATTTAGTAGCGTTCTTAGTTAATAATGTGAAAGAAATTTTTGGCGTGGAAGCAACAACAACTTCATTAGAAAAAACAAGAGCTACTAATGCAACAATGGTTATTTCGAAAATAACTAATAAAACAATAAGTACGATAAAACCTAACACAACTACTACTGCCCCTATTACAAGAACTACACATTTAACAAATGTAACTTTTGCAACGCGTACAACCACTGCTAACCTAACCACTGCTATTGTTACCACTACTAACTCTGTTTCTAAATCTACTGTAAACAAGAAAAGTAAACAAACCGAATTATTTAATTTAACAAACAATATCGACATAATAGAGAAAAAGAGAAGAGCTCAAATAAAGGCTAAAACAAAACCAAAAATTAATTTGTATATTGAGCCTCCTTTTCCCAACATGACTGATCTAAACCCTCCAAGAAGATCTTGTATCGTATGTAACAATGTTCAGTTGCAAGAATGTAATGATCCTAAAAATAAGCTGTAAGTACCTACTTATGAAAAACTTGAACTTTCCTCGTATTGACCTTCTCTTCTTTTTCAATATGTTTTTTATAAACAGGATTCCATCTGTAATTTGTGATCATGAAGAAGATCTATGTTACTCCCAGCAAACACCTTTTGGGCTAATAGACCGTGGATGTTTCAATGGTAACCTGAATTTAACAACGTACGTGTGCTCCTGCAACCTTTGCAATTATATTTCAATCTCTGAAATGCCATACATATTTTCTAAAAAAAAGGATTGGATAGAAAATGTCATAGATCTTACACGATCAAAAAGCTTTCGTACATCAATTTACAAAGATATGTCTTGTTTGAGCTGCGAAGTTAATTCTACAACAAAAACACTGGACATGTTAGACAACGCTCTCTGCTTGGAGGGTAATATGTAAGTAATTGTTACATTTCTCTAGTTTTAATTTATTTGAATTTGTCTCTTTTTTAATGCTACCATATTTTATTCTAAGCAATAGCATTTTCCAGGGTCTCTCTTACATTGACATATATAACAAAATATAATGTTCAATTACTGTCCGACTTATTTTTAGTTATTTATTTATTTTCCTTAGTTTATCCCCTTCCTTATTAGCATGTTTAATTGTTATTTTACATAAGTTAGGGCCAAAACGAGTAAATTTTAGGATGTAATCCTTAGCAGGTCTAAAATTAACAGTCAAAGTAGAGGAGCATTTTCACACTCTTAAGCTCTTATATGGAGTGTTTACCTCGTCATAAAAATTGTCTGCGGTTCACATCGCTCACAAACGAAACAGTAACAATATGCTGCTAATTTCGCTGGTTTTAAGTAATTTTCTTTTCCCTTTCGATCGTGAAAAGTAAAGATATGGTGCGAGTAGAGACCTTCTCTCATTTCTAAGAGAGTAATGGTAAAATTAGACCGCTTCTACCTGTTAGCGGACTTAATGTCTCTAAATTATTTTATTTTTAGTCTAGTCTACTTTTAAGTCTATTATGTTAATAAATTAAATATATAAAATTTAAATCTATACAAATTAATAATATTGAAGTGTTTGTAATATTGAAAAGAATTTACTTCTATTAAGCTCAAGAGGTTGTTTGCATGCTATTAAAGACTCAAGTAACCATTTTTAAATGTTTGTCTATCTGTCTGTCTATCTTTTCTATCTATTCAATCTGTTCTATATGTTGTCAATCCTGAGGACTAAGATGGAATGCCTCGTTTCCAATAAACATGATCTCCAGTTTTCTAATGACCATACGATACACAGCAGCATTAAGCTGTTATTTTACGCTGGTATACTGTGAGAGCGTGGTCCTTCCCCGGTCGAACCGACCCATTCGTGCTAGAGTCATAATATACTCGTAGCTGCAGCGTGACTCTACCTATCTTTTTAGGATAGGGTGACAAACGAGCACACAGTCCACCTGATGGTAAGTGTTTGCTGTGACCCATAGACATCTACATTTATCCTCGTTTGCGAATCAAAATGCAGATGCGTTGTCACCCGTGACGACTAAGATAGAATGCCTCTTTTCCAGTAAAAAGGGTCTCCGGTTCTCTACACTCACCATACGAAACACAACAGCATGAAGCTGATATTTGACGCTGGTATTCTTTGAGAGCGTGGTTCTTCCCCGGTCGAGCCGACCCATTCGTGCTACAACTATACAACTAATATAGCTGCAGCATGGCACTACCACGTAAAAAACCTAGACTCCAAAATAAATCATTCGTCATCATTACATCTTACAGGTCACTACAAAATAAGATCAATTCGTTTATATACAGTTCTAAACCATGTCTTATTACATTACCACTCAGTCCAGTAGGAGTCGCACTACATACACTCCTGTTAAAGATCCTTATTTTTCTTTATCGTTTCCGAATCTACAAGCAGTATCAAGATTTTGCCACTTCGGTCTGTTGATAAACTAAGGCGTATTATATTATATAAGATATATGTTTCAGTGGATTATTACCAACAAAACAGTGTGCAGAAGATGAAATATGCGGAATTAAAGCTCGGAGAAATGATGGATATATTTGGCGCGGTTGTCTTAAAAGTCCGCTCTACAACTACTGGTGGTCACTTTGTGATAGTGATTTATGTAATTATGACAGTATAATTTCTTTGTACGATGAAAATTAATTGCGTTCAATATGATATAAATGATCTTGTGATGGCTTATACCAATTTAGAAGCACAATTTGTATTTATTTTTACTTATTATTATTAAAGAAAAATACATCAATTTATTCCTATTATTACTTACAAACTGCCCTCATTTCGTTCAGGCTGTAAATTTAAAATCATTTTGATAATCTTGATAGACATGTTCCAGCCATGTTTATGTTAATCTTATTTGGTAATTTATGAAAAAAAGGCAATTTTTTTTCTTCTTTTCATCAACCTGTTAAGGTCCAATGCAATATGAACAATTTCGAGTAATCCCAGAAATTTTAACTCTGAATATCTAAATTGTGTAATTATGATAAAAACCGAGTGACAAATCAACTTTTTGAAATCTTCATATCTTTTGTCCACTATTGCGTAGTGATATAAGTATAGATCTTCTATATAATTATTTATATAGAAGATCTATACTTTCAAATTACATAGATTTCGTTTCTGTACTGTCTGGGGCACAGGCTCATACAATTTCGGCCATCACCTAGATTTGTATTTAATTTTAGATTTATACTCTAAACACTAATTGTTTTCTAAATTTGAAGCTTCTATATCAGCTAGAAGCGCCTTTGATCAGTCAGTCAGTGAGTAACAAAATTAAGAAACTTTGAATGGTTATAATTCTTATCTACTATTTCAAATTGAATGAAATTTGAACGTGGTAGAGCCATGCTGTAGCTATATTATGGTTGTAGCACGAATGGGTCGGCTCGACCGGGGAAGGACCACGCTCTCACAGAAAACCAGCGTAAAATAGCAGCTTAACGCTGCTGTGTTTCGTATGGTGAGTGTAGAGAACCGGAGACCCTTTTTACTGGCAAAGAGGCATTCCATCTTAGTCCTCACGGGTGACAACGCATCTGCATCTTGAGCCTTTATTGAGGATGGATGTAGGTGTCTATGGGTCACAGTGGCCACTTGCCATCGGGTGGACTGTGTGCTCGTTTGTCACCCGATCCTATAAAAAAAAAAAAAAAAAAAAATATACCGTGCTTATATAATGCATGCTTGGATACTGCAAATTCAGTTTTTTTTAGTTTTATCCATAACGAAGTTATAGGGGATCGAAAATGGCCTGAACTGCTTCGAGAAAAGGATGATACAGCCGTGCCGCTTATTTGCTCGACTTGGCGGGTGCACTACCGTGACCCCAGATTAAATTTTATTATATATACTGAGAGGCCAAAGTTAATATATTTATTTCTTTAAATTTTTCTCTAAGAGACTCGGTTTAAGACAATGACAAATATGATGAAAGTTACGACGAGACGGCAACCCAGTTCCCAAAGGCCTCGCTATTTCTAGCTACGTTGGCGACCATGGTAACGGCGGGACAGAGGGTGCTAAGAATCTTCGGTGGAGATTCAGTTGCCACCTAAGACGACTCGACCTGGAGACGCACGCACCCTGAGGATTGACGAGAAGATCCTGAAGCTGGAAGAAAAGATAGACAAGTTACGCTGGTATATTATAGGATTATCAGAGGTCCAAATAGAGGGGGAGGACACGGTAGTGCTTGATTCCGGCAACTTGTTCTATCATCGGGAGAGCGACCATCTGTCCCAAGGAGGTATCAGATTTATCGTCTACAGTCTCTCGTTAACAACCTTGTAAACATTGTGTGTCGACGAGGGTTGCGTACCTTATACTCAGAATCACCAAACGGTATTTGTTGAAGTTCATACAGGTTTACGTAACATCCACGGCACATCATGATGAGGAGGCGGAGGAAATTTATAAAGATATCCAAAGCCATACATTCATGCAAAACCCACTATACGGTGTTAATGCAAGACTTTAATGCAAAACTAGGTACAAGAGAGAACAGTGATATGAAGGTAGGAAAATTTGTAATAGCACAACGGAAACCAAGCGACCAGCAGCTGGCTGACTTCATGGAGAAAAAGGGACTCTTTATGATGAACTCTTTCTTCCTGAAGCGACCCCACAGGAAGTGGACCTGATCGAGTCCCGACGGTTCTACAAAAAATGAGATTGACTTCATTATAACGACCAGACAACAACTGTTCAGTGATGTCTCGGTGATCGTGAGAGTGAAAACTGGTAGCGATCACCTAATGGTTCGAGGATCACTGAACCTAAACTTTAAGTTGGAGAGGTCTTGCTTAATGAAATCAACGCTTCTTCCCCCTCGTGCTTTAATCAAAAATCGCGAGTGTTAGAAAACATTTCAGCTCGAGTTACAAAACCGCTTTCAGAGCCTAGAAGACTGCAATGCAGTGGACGATATGAATGATAAAGTCGTGGAAACTATCCATGTCATCAGAGCTAAGTTCTGCAAGACCCGCCGCAGAAGAACACAAAAACTCTCCGATCACACTCTTAATCTCACAGCTGTTAGACGGGAGATAAATCTACATTCTTCAACAGATTTGACAGCATACAGGAAACTGAACAGACAGATCTCCATGCGGTGGGACTTAAGCAACTTCAATATAGCTTGTTTTGAACAAGCGATCGAGCGGAACCAAGGCTCCAAAGTCTTTGCTAGAGATCTGTATGCCAGAAAGAGCCAGCTGTCAAAGCTGAAGACCGAGTGTGGCAGCATTGTTTCCGAGACACCTGAGATTTTGAGTGAGATTGAGAGATTCTATGGGCTGCTGTACACGTCATGGTTGGAGCCACACGCAAGTGTAAGTAACGATCCAAGAGCGAGTCTTATCTGACACTAATTTGATGGCATCCCAGACGTCAGTCTAAGCGAGATTAGAATGGCCCTCCAGCATTTTTAAAAAGGCAAGGCCCCAGGTGAGGATGGAATTACAGCGGAGTTTTTGAAAGCGGGTGGAAAACCGGTACTTGAAGTCCTTCAGAAGCTCTTTAATTCTGTTCTACTCTGGATGCGTCTAGGAGAAGAGCGGTGGTTCAAGACAGGCAACAACGCTCTCTTGAAGAAGTACAGAGCGATTTCCCTTCTGAGTCGCGTCAACATGCTGTTTTCGAGGGTCATTACGAATAGTCTCGCACGCAAACTTGACAACTTCCAGCCTCCCGAAAAAACCGGTTTCCGAAAAGGCTTTAGTACTATAGACCACATATATACCCTTCGGCATATATTACAGAAGACGGAAGAGTACAATCTGCCACTTTGCTTTGCGTATGTGGACTATAAAAGCCTTTGATTTCGTCAAAATTTGGGCGGTGCTATAGTCCCTTCAGCGGTGCCAAGTTGACTGTCGGTATATCGAAGTGCTGAAGTA